AGGGTCCGGGTCCGCACCGTGGATGAGGCTGGGGGGCGGGAGAGCCGTGACCTGAGAGGCGACCAAACGGTCAGCCCCACGAGCGTGCACTGGGCATCCAGAGCACGCAGTGGACGCTCCGCTGCGGAAGGTGCACCAGCCTCTCCAGACTGTGGAAGGAACCGAAGGGAAAGTTCTGAGGGGCGTGCTAGCCGCTCTGGGCTGGGCTGGCTCCTGGAATCTCCCGGAGCCGCAGAACTAGAATGACTGACTGGGCTTCATCCATAAGTTGCACGTTTCCAGCTCTGCGAATATTTCAACAAAATTGACACAGGTGTATTAAAATAGGTAGGAAATTGCAGTCTAGAGCTTATATGATATTATGCTAATATAATTGTGCATAATTATATTCTTCCTGATGTTATTACATATTATATGATTATATTATATGGCATATTTAAGGTTTTTTTTTTTCTTTTTTTCTGGGGGGGGGGTACTGGGGATTGAACTCAGGGGCACTCCACCACTGAGCCGAATCCCCAGCCCAATTTTGTATTTTATTTAGACACAGGGTCTCACTGAGTTGCTCAGTGTCTCTCCCTTGCTGAGGCTGGTTTTGAATCTCAGTGTGCCACCGAGCCCGGCCACATTTTAGTGTTTATTCACTTTCCACGTCTGGAATATGGAACAGAATGAGTTAAGGAACTCGGTGCAGCCCTCCATGCAAGTGACTTGGGTCTTATGATTGGCCCTGCTCCCGTTAAGCTGTATGAACTAGGGCAAACCGTCCGGCTCTCAGGTCCTTGGTTTCCTAGTCTATAGAAGGGACCTATCAGTCTTTCTCTGGGCAATGTGAAGACCAAGTATGAGGAATATTGAAATTCCCAGCATTAGGCTTGTCACACAGTACTGGTGTGTCACCATTTATTGAGTCTGAATAGGAATACTTGGGCCCTTACATTCATCCACTATTAATTTATAATAATATTGGACCTTTTCAAAGATTTTCTTACTGAAATGTACCTTTTTATTTTTCTGCAGTCCTGGGGATTGAATCCAGGGCCCCACATATGCTAGGCAAGCACTCTACCACTGAGCTATGTCCCCAGCCCTCATACTGAGATATATAAATAAAAAAAAAATTTTTCCACTATTAATTTAAGCCAGTTGAATTTTTAGAAAATGCAAATGTTATAGAAAGGAACAAAATGGAAATTGACAGCCCTCTTATATAGTTCTTCCCCACAACCAGGACTTTAGTTTATTTCCTTCCCATAAACATTAATGCCCACACCAGAATATATAGTACATGACATGTATACATATATGCATGATATATATGATTAATTTACCCCAAAGGGATAATACTAGTCACATGATCCTACACCTTGCTTTGTTAAAATATTAAAAATAACATAAATGACATCAAGAGCCCTGAAAAGTTTTATGGATGGTGAAACTGACACTCAGAAGGTAAGTTGTCTAGGGTCACACAGCAAAAGAACAGAGCACAGTGTAGAACCCAGATGACAGTAAGGAGTCAAGTGGTCTGACTCCATCGTCCAGGGTTCTTCATGCCATTAGAATGCATTTTATTAGTATTTGGAAGGTAGGTTCATCCTTCTCCACAAAAGAAGATTAACAGACTTTCTTTATCACTTGTCCTTGAATTTAAGTGATAGGATTCAGCGAAGCACCTAGCATGGTACTTAGTGTTCAGTAAACTAAAGATAGCTTTATTTATTTGTTTATGCAGTACGGGGATTGAACCTAGGGTCTTGTGTAAGCTAAGCAAACACTCTACCACTGAGCTCCATCCCCAGTCCTTTTTTATTTTTATTTTTTTGTTTAGGTGTTGGGGATTGAACTCAGGGGATGCTTTACCACTGAGCCACAAGCTCAGCTGTTTTTACTTTTTTTGAGATGGGTTTTGCTAAGTTGCTTAGAGCTTACTAAATTGCTGAGTCTGTCCTTGAACTTGGGATCCTCCACCCTCCGTTCCTGGAGTTACTGGGATTATAGCACATACAACCATGCCTGGCTAGCTACTATTATTTTTGCCATTTCTTTTATTAGCCCATTAATTTAGTTCACTGCACAAACTTGGGAGGCTTGTAACACATACTTAATTGAGAAATTTGGGACCTAACAACCTAAGGGTTAGACCCCACTAGCTTGCATGGTACATCAGAGGGTATAGTAGGAACCCCACTGTGGATCCTTTCCCTTAGAAAAGAAGCCGCCTTGGAGAGGAGTAGTTATTTCCTGTCTGAGAATAGACCTGGGAAGTGAGATAGGGACATTTTAGCTCCTGTTTTTCTCTGCTACCTCTTTGTTTATTGCTTTATAACTGCCGGCCTTTGGGCCCTATGCCAGTAATTTGTTCCATTACTTATTTTCTTCCTATCCTGTGTTTTATATATTTGACTAATAATTCCCTTGTGTACCTACTGTGTGCCAAGCTCTACTTGGATCTGCTGGATTTTGAAGTGAGCTAGATACTGCCGGAGCCCGGCTGGCTGGGCAAAATAACCAGGGGGTGACGAATAATTTGTGTACGTTGATACAGCAGGAGTAGGAGCCGTTTATTGCAGGACAGGAGCAGTATTTATACATTCCACACAGCTTATCTAATTAGCATAAACTAGATACATCAGTCAACCAATAAGGAATCTCCACACTTAATGGCTCGCTTTTGTTACTTCTCAAACCACTCCCTCTGGCATTTTGCCAGGCACCATCCAGACTTGTTTAACATTCCCCTGGCAAAATGCCAGGTGTTATTTTGACTTGTTTACAGACTCTAACAGATACAAGGGTCTTAGGGTCTTTGGTCTCAGTTAAATTTTTTTTTTTAATTCAAAGTCAAATGTGGGTTTGAATAATGATTTCCCACACTTTAGCTTTGTGGCCACTGGCAAGTTATTTAATCTCTCTGTTCTTATTTGAAAAGTGAAGATCATAGTCTCAGCTTGTGAGAATTCAATGAGATGAGATCCACCGAGCAGTTGAGTTAGTGCTTTAAAAATGTCCCTTTGCTTCTTTGTCCTCTTTTATCTCTATCCCAGAGCTAACAAGCAGAGTTTCTGAGTCTTCACTGGCGAGGAGAATTCTCAAAGCTCCTAGCTATGCGTCTCTCTGTATTGCTGGCCTTGGCATCCAAGGTCACTCTGCCCCCTCACTACCGCTATGGGATGAGCCGCCCAGGTTCCCTGGCAGACAAGAGGAAGAACCCCCCAGGGACCAGGCGGCGCCCCGTGGTTGTGGAACCCATCTCTGATGAAGACTGGCATCTGTTCTGTGGGGACATGGTGAGAGCCTCAGGCGGAGAGTGATGGGGAGTCCTGGGCAAAGGTCCCCCTCCCTGAGCCTCTGTCTTCCCACAGGTGCAGATCCTGGAAGGCAAGGATGCGGGGAAGCAGGGCAAGGTGGTTCAAGTCATCCGGCAGCGGAATTGGGTAGTCCTGGAGGGGCTGAACACGGTGAGTAAAGAGGAGGGGGACGCTCAGGAGGTCTGTCCCATCTGTCCCTCTGCATTAAGAGCAGCCCAAGGTGAGACTGGCAGAGGGAATGGTTGTGAAACTGAACCTTTTACTTTTTAGTTGGGGCCAAATGTGCTGAGCAGCTGTGGGCAAGCCCCCGCCCCCTTGCTTCCTGACACAGCCTCCTCTCTCTTGGACAGCATTTCCGCTACATTGGCAGGACAAAGGATTCTCCGGGAACCATGATCCCTAGTGAAGCCCCTTTGCTGCACTCCCAGGTCAAACTTGTGGATCCTGTAGACAGGCAAGCACGTGGGCTCCTGTTAGAGGACTCCTCACCCTCAAGTCCATGAAGGTGTTGACCACAGCTAGGGATGGGCAGCCCATTTATCCAGTGGGAATGGTCGGTTAGGTGCTCTAGATGTTGAGGGGTCCATCATCTAGCCATAATTCCCTGTGGGTAGTCCCAGGAGAAGTAGAGACACAGGGTGGCAGTCTGTTTTCAACATTGACTTCACGTTTGGGTTGGGGTGTGGCTGGGAGCCTGGCTCCTAGGTCGTGCTCATTTTTTTTCTCCACCAGGAAACCCACTGAGATTGAGTGGAGATTTACGGAGGCAGGAGAGCGAGTACGAGTCTCCACAAGATCAGGAAGAATTATCCCCAAACCTGAATTTCCCAGAGCTGATGGCATTGTCCCTGAAACATGGATTGGTGAGGCTGCATGGGGGTCAGGGAGAGGATGGGGACAGTGGGAATGAGAGGAAAGGATGTTTAGAGTTGGCAACCCTCCCACCTCCCGTCTCCTTTCCTTTGACTCAACAGATGGCCCCAAAGACACATCAGTGGAAGATGCTATGGAAAGAACTTATGTGCCTCGTCTGAAGACACTAGAGGAAGAAGTGATGGAGGCAATGGGGATCCAGGAGACCCGGAAACACAAGAAAGTCTATTGGTATTGAGTCTGGGGAAGACAGCTTCTCCGGCTCTTTATCTTAGCCTTGAAGGCCAAAGCACTATTTTCAGACACCAATAAAGTGCCGTTAGTCTTCCTGTGTGCAGCTGCTCTCTGTGCTGGAGTGGTACCCAGCCCATAAGCCATATCCAGGGCCTGCAGGAGGGAGCCTTTGTCTTCCTGTTGACATGGAACCCGGGTGAAAGGTAGCCAGCCTGAAGGAAGCCCTCCCAGGACAGGGCTGCATACTCAGGAGTGGTAACCAAGGGAAGAGAAAGGTTTCCTCAAAGGAGACCTCCGAGCAGCAGAAGCTGCTACCCAGGCCTCTTGCTAAGGAGGGCACCTGTCTGTTCTGCTCTTTATAGAATTAGAAGAGCTGAGCACCGTGGAGCATACCTGTTAATTCTAGTGATTTTGGAGGTTGCAGCAGGATGGTGGCAATTTTTAGGTCAGCTTGAGCAATTCAGTGAGATCCTGTCTCAAAAAGAAGGGCTGGGAATGTAGCTCAGTGGCAAAGTGCCCCTGGTTCAATCCCCAGTATCACCCCCCACCCCCACCCCAAAAAAAGGAATGAAAGTCAAGTCATTGTTTTTAAATGTTTTTCTTTATTGATTTGTTTCAATGCCAGGGATCATTCCCAGGGCCTCCCACATGCTAGGCAAGTGCTCTGCCACTGAGCCACACCCCCAGCCCAGTTTTTAATAAATTAACAATAAAACTTCACACAATATTACATAACATGGATGGAGAGAGAGTATGAAACGAAGTTGGTAGACAGCTGGGATCCCAGGGAGGACGCAGGCTGCTGTGCACCCATGGGGTTTCAGAAGGGGTCTGTCTCAGGGTTTGTCAGCTGTCTTCAGTCTCCAGGGCAGAGAAGGCCTGGCCCAGGGGCATCTTGGTGGCCACCAGAACCAGGTTTCTAGGAGACAGCTCTGGGCTGAAAATGGGCAGGAGCTCAGCATGGAAGCCTAGAAGAAAGGGCTAATCAGAAGTGTCTTGAAACACCCACCCCCTTTTCCCCAAGGGGACAAAAGAGACCCTGTTCTTAAGTTCTCAATGATGGAGTGCTTGCTTAAAATCTGTTCCAGGAAGGCACCACCAGAGGCTCACTTGGTAGGATTTTTTTTTAAATCGTTTGTGTGTGTGTGAGAGAACCCAGGCCTTGTGCATGCACAGTAAGCACTCTATCAACTGAGGGGTATCCCCAGGCCGGAATGTGCATCCTTTAACAAACCCTATACCCCAGCCCACCAGTGATGACCCAGGCCCAGCAGATGTGGGGCCTGGGACTTGAAGGACCAACCCCAGAACTCCAGCTCCTCACCCTGCTCCTGAAGGTAGAGCAGCCGGTCCAGCAGAATCAGCGTCTCTACCAGCGGGGCCAGAAGAAGTGCCAGGCTGAAGAAGGCCACCACACGGTTCTCCTGGGCCTGGTGGGCCCGGAGGGTCGCCAGGTTCAGCGGCAGATGGGGATCCAGTCCCACTCGCTGTAGCCCACGCCGCACATATCTGTGGAATCAGCCCCAATCAGCACTCAGTTTGGTTTTAGAAATCTCTGCCTCCCACTTGAACTTTGCTACCCTAATATGCATTTTAAAATTTTATTATTATTATTTTGGCAGTACTGGGGAAGGCTGAATCCAGGGGTACTTTACCACTGAACTACATCCCTAGTGCTTTTTATTTTTTGAGACATGGTCATGCTAACTTGCCCAAGCCGGCCTTGAACATGCACTCCTCCCGTCTCAGCCTCTTAAATGTGAGTACCATATCCAGCCTCATTTATTTTACTTTTAAGAGGTGAGGTCTTGGGCTAGGGACATAGCTCAGTTGGTAGAGTGCTTGCCTCGAAAGTTCAAGGCCTGAGTTCAATCCCCAGCACCACAATAAACAAATAGAGGTGAGGTCTTGCTATATTGCTCAGGCTGGCTCCAAACTCAGGGACTCAAGAGATCTTCCTGTCTCGCCTCTTGAGTGGCTGGAACTAGAGGCATTCACCATAGTGCCTGACCTAATATGCTGGGTGTTTTTTTTTCTTTCTCTTTTTATGGTACTAGGAATTGAACCCAGGGCCTCATGCATACTAGGCAGGTGCTCTACCACTGAGCTACATCCCAGCCTCAACATAAGTTTTTAAATGTTTCTCTCGCTGTGAATTCTGCCAATATCAACTGATACAAAAACTTATTTTCAGCCAGTTTTGTCCAAATTAGCCATATTTTAAGCATTTAAAAAACTATAAAAGCTGGGCCCAGCTGTGCACACCTGTAATTCAGGCATTCAGAAGGCTGAGGTAGAAGGATGACAAGTTCAAAACCAGCCTTGACAACTTAGTGAGATGCTATCCTGAAATTAAAAAAAAATAAAAGTGCTGCTCAGTGGTAAAGCACTCCTGGGTTCTATTTCCAGTACCACAAAAAAAAAAAAAAAGGAAAATACAACTTTTCATTTGGCTGGCGTCTAGCTTGGTGGTGGAGTTTGCCTAGTAAAGCCCTAGGTTCAATTCCCAGTGCTGCAAAAAACAAATTTTATGAACCATACATGGTGGCACACACCTATAATCCCAGCACCTTGGAGGCTGAGGCAGGAGGATCTCAAGTTCAAAACAAGCCTCAGCAATTTAGCGAGGCCATAAGCAACTTTGTGAGGCCCTGTCTCTAAATAAAAAATAAGAGGGCTGGGTCAGTGGTTGAACACTCCTGGGTTCAATCCCTAGTAACAAACAAACAAATAAATAAATAAACATAATTTTTTTCCCTTTCTTTTGGGTGGTAATGGGGATTGAACCCAGGGGTGCTCTACCACTAAACCATATATCCCTCCCTTTTGACTTTTCATTTTAAGACAGTTTGCTAAAATTACCCAGGTTAGTCTTGAATTTGTGGTCCTCCTGCCTGACCCTCCTGAGTAGCTGGGATTATTACAGGAGTGTGCCACTGCTCCCAGCAAATGAACATCTTCTTTCAAAGAAATTTGAAGAAGTCGCCCCAGTCAGAAAACTGAACATCACCTCTCTGGGCAAAAGCTTTTCTTTGGATGTGCTAACAAGTGGGGATGGGTCGGAATCGGGTCTTGAGGTAGTGATCCCCCACCCCCCACTGCAACCTCACTCTTCGATCTTGAGCTCGTGGACCCTGGGGATCCCCTGCACCCCAGGCCGACGGAGCTCAGGCCGGGCACGTCGGATGACCATCTCCAGTGCTGCTCGGTAGCAGTGGGTTCGGAGGCCAGGGCCAGCTTTCTGTAGCCGCTTGGCATACTCCTCCAGGGCATGGCAGGCCCCCTCCCGGAGCCTGTAGGGCAGTTCATAGCCAGGCAGCCCAGCCACCCACTGACTCAGTGGGTAGCCTCCAGGGTCACTAAGCTTCATGTAGCAGCAGCCTACAGAGGCCAGGGCCACCACCTCCGGGCAGCAGCAGAAGTGCCTCAGCAAGGCCACACTCAGATCCCCGCAGGCGTGGAGGCCCGTCAGCAGCAGGCGGGCACTGCCACACTGTGAGCTGTCCAGCGGAAGCAGAAGCTCCCCACACAGGGCTGTGGGGTCCACCCATTGGACCACGTGGTAAGGGGAGTGGCGAGGGCCTGTTTGGGCCACCTGTGGAGGCAAGACAAGACAAAGACAGGTGGAAAGTTTCTTGTTCCCAGACCACCTCAGGCCACTGGAAGACCTGTCCACTGTCACTTCCTCAGAAGGAACGTGGGAAAGAAGCTGGGCCACAGGGGAGGGCTGGACCATGAATCCAGAGACAAGATAAACTCTTGTGTTTATCACCATTAATTTTGTAAATATTTTCATCTGTCAAACTCAGTTTTTCTTTTTTCCTATTATTATTATTTGGCTGTGAGAGATCAAACCCGAGTCTTGTGCACGGCGGGCCACACTCAACTACTGAGCTACACCTTCAGCCTCCCCAGGGTTTTGTTCTGCAGTACTGGAGACTGAACCAAGGGCCCCCCATGCACACTCTGAACTACATTCCCGGCCCTTTTTATTTATTTTTTATTTTTTTATAAAATTTTAATATTTATTTTTAATATTTGGCGGACACATCTTTGTCTGTATGTGGTGCTGAGGATCGAACCCGGGCCGCACGCATGCCAGGCGAGCGCGCTACCGCTTGAGCCACATCCCCAGCCCTATTTATTTTTATTTTGAGACAGGGTTTAAGTTGCTCAGGCTGGCCTTGAACCTGTGATCCTCCTGCCTCGAGTTCCTGAATTGCCACCATACCTGGCTCTTAACTAATAACAAGTCTAGTATCTGACAGGACTGGGGATGTAGCTCAATGGTAAAGTGCTTGCTTGGCATGAACAAGGCCCTGGGTTTGACCCCCAGCACCACAACCAGTAATAATGCTCGACTGGCCACGTCTGGCTGTTATGAGAAGAACATATTGGTGTGAAAAGCATTTTGTCATTTTGGGTACTAGGGAATGATTCCAGGGACTCTTCACCATTGAGTTATATCCCCAGCACGTTTTATTTTGTTGGTACTGGGGATCAAAACTAAGGGTGCTTTACTCCTGAGCTATATCCTTAGCCCTTTTATTTTTCACTTTTTGAGACAATGTCTTGAAGTTGCTTAGAGCCTTGCTAAGTTGCTGAAGCTGGCCCCAAACTTCAATCCTCCTGCCTCAGCCTCCCAAGTTGCTGAGGTTATAGGCATGTGCTACTGCACTCAGTAGGGAAAGCACTTTGTAACTAAAAAGTGCCTTTGAGATGTGGGGAGGCTTTAGGGAAAGGAAAAAGAGCAGAAACAGGGACATAACCATCTCAAGCCAAGAAACTTAAAAGTGGGGATTCAATCTCCATGCCCAGTTCTAGCCAAGCAGACCTGCTCCTGCAGCCCAGGCTTCAGTAAGGGCTACCCTACCTGTGGGTTCTTCTTCTCCTCTTTTTCTAGAGCCTGAAGGAGTTCCTGGTCCAGGCGCTGGGCTCTCTCCACCAGTCTCGGATTCCCTTCAATGCTCTTCACCTTTAGTCCCAGCCCCAGAGACATGAAGCGGGAGAGGTGGCCCTGAAGGCATGAGGAGGACAAAGGCAGCCCCATTCAGTGCCCTATCCACTGTTATCCTCAGTGGTCTGGACACTGGGATTTCAGGCCCCACAGAAGGCTTAAATTCTGCCCCGCCTGGTGCACCATTTCTCAGCGCCTGCCTCTCTGGGCCTGAGGTCTGATTACCTGCCTTCTAGATGTCCTCATGATTCAAAAAGACAGTGAACCAGGGGTTTGTCTCACCTGGCCTGAGCCCACGTCCACAACCTGGGTGCATCCTGTGAGATCACTCAGCTTCTTTACCAACTGAAAGAGGAGGGAACAAAGGTGTCCTGGCCATCGGCTCTTGACTCCCAGAGCAAACACCAGGGAAGAGTGTTTGGGTATGAGGGTACAGGAGTCAAAGACGGAAATGTAAGGTGGATAGAGGGCGCCATGGAAGATACAAGAGATGGAAACCAGTCAAAGATGAGGGTGGTGCCCCTTCCAGGTTGAGGCCATTTTGCTTTCCCTTTAGGTCAGTGACTCAATCTCCCCCACAGAATAAGAGCCTTGTGAAGCGAAAACCAGAATGAAGATGCAAAAATGGGAATAAGAGTGATTGAGATATAGCTTGTCAATCAATCCAGCAAAACGAAGGAGATATGATTACAGTATAACTGCTCAGAGAGAGAACTTCTAGGGCTTCCATGGGAGGAAAGGGGCACACACTTGTAACCCATGGACTTAAGGAGTGCCTGGGTTCCCAGATACCATCTACATTCCAGCCATCTCCTCACCTCTCCCAGTCTCCGAATCTCATGCTGCTTCTTGGGCCTGACGTGTTTCCGGAAGGGGGCTGTCAGTCGGGAGCTCTGGCTGGGGTTCTCCAGGAACTCTGAGGGGGTTTGAAAGCCAGGCGTCCGGGTAAAGGCCAGGGCATAGGCTGTGGACTTCAGGGCCAGCAGGGTGAGTGGCCACACCGACCTGTACCTGAGATATTCCAGCCCAGGCCACCAGTGAATCACCCTATCACATTCCCAGGGCACCAGTTTATAACCCAAGGACCCAGGAAAAGCTCATGAGACTCTGAGCAATAGCTTGTTGCAGGACCAAGTGCCTTGGGCTCCCCAGCACAGGACCCCTTTGGCCATACCTGACCACCTCCCCTTCCCCAGGCATCCCCAGTAGCAGTGTGGCCAGCTGTGGTGGGTTCAGTCCATCCAGCGCTTCCTGCCATGAGCAAGGGAGTGTGCCCCACAAGTTATCTGTGAAAAATTCCTATAGGAAAAGGAAAAAAGCAATCAGCAGGATACTATCTTCTATCATTCCCACTCTCCTCTCCCTGGCGATAACCTGTTGTTGTATGTGCTGAACATTTGTGTATTTTTGCTCATTGATTTATTCACCACAAATTCTAGGGCTAAGTGGGGGTAGTGGCCCACACCTACAATACCAGCAACTTGGGTGGCTGAGGCAGGAGAATCACAAGTTTGGGGCCAGCCTCAGCAGCTTAGTGAGACCCTGCCTCAAAATTAAATAAAGGGCTGGGAATGTAGCTCAATGGTAGACTATTTTAACCACAAATCTTACTATTATGTTCAAATATAATGCACCATTTAAAAATGGAAAAAATAAATAACTTATTTCATTTTTTAAAAATGGTAGGGCTGGGCTGGGGATGTGGCTCAAGCGGTAGCACGCTCGCCTGGCATGCGTGCGGCCCGGGTTCGATCCTCAGCACCACATACAAACAAAGATGTTGTGTCCACTGAAAACTAAAAAAATAAAATAAATATTAAAAAAAAAAAAAAAAAAAAAAAAAATGGTAGGGCTGAGGATATAGCTTAGCTGGTAGAGTGCTTGCCTCGAATGCACAGGCACTGGGTTCAATCTCCAGCACCACAAAAAAATAAAAATAAATAAAGAAAGGTAGAGTACACTTAGGTTCAATCCTTAGTACCACAATAATTAACTAATTAATTCTGGGCTTTGTTTGGGTCATGTACCAAGTTTCTAATCTAAGCTCAGAAAATACAAAAATAAAGCAGAGATAAGATTTTTGCAGAATTTACTGTCTCCTTCCAGCACTGCTGGCCCATATGGCCACTGGCTGCAACCAGCAAATACCTCCTACTCTTTAGAATCAGCTCTTTTGTCAAGCCTGCTCCAGTGCCCTCAACTCCCAGGTGGTTTACCTGGGCACAGTAGCACACACCTGTAATCCTAGCAATAGGAGGCTGAGGAAGGAGGATCCCAAGTTCAAGGCCAGCCAGCCTCAGCAACTTTGTGAGAACCTCAACAACTTCGAAGGACCCTGTCTCAAAAGTAAAAAGGACTGGGGATGTAGCTTACTGTCAAAGCACTCTGGGGTACCCGCCCCCTCCCCCCGCAAAAAAAAAAAAAAAATTTAAAAGGGAAAAAACACATGACTCAGTTTTTTGTTTTTTTCTTTTGGTACTGAGGATTGAACCCAATGGTGCTTTATCAAGGAGCTACATCCAAAGCCCTCCCCAATTTTATCTTGAGACAGGGTCTCACTAAGTTGCTTTAAGGCCTCACTGAGTTGCTGAGATAGGCCTTGAATTTGCAACCCTCTTGTCTCAGCCTCTCATGAGTATTACAGGTGTGGGCCACCTCTGGGGCTTAAGGTAGATGTTAACCCCCATTTTACAGATGTGGAAACTGATACAGCAATTAAATAATTTGCCCAAGTCAAAAAACTAGTAAGTAGCAGAACTGGGACTTGAAACCAGTTTTACTCGAGTCCTTGATCTTAACCAGTCTGCTCTATTGCTTTTCTATGGAGGAAAGCATTCCAGACAGATCAATAATTGCAACTGTAAAGGCCCAGATGCTTGCCACATTTGTGGAACAGAAATCAGGCCAATTTGAAGTACAGCAGAGTGAAGGTAAGAGAATGAAATCTGATGAGGATTGAAGAGGCAACAGCCAGATCATACACAGTGGGTTTTTTGGTACCAGGTATTGAAACCCAGGGGTGCTTAACCACTGAGCCACTTCCCCAGCCCTTTTTATATTTTATTTGGAGACAGGGTCTCGCCAAGTTGCTCAGGACCTTGCTAAATTGCTGAGGCTCCAAATCTGCTGGGATTACCGGTGTGCACCACCACACCCAGCTATATACCTGTCTGTAGATAATAAATTTATTTCATCAAAGGACCTAGATAGCAAGAAATATCATGATACAACTTACATTTGAAAGGCTCCTTCAGTGAAGAGCTGGTTATGGAGGAGCAGAAGTAAATACAGAGAGACATTAGGAAGTAGTTTCGGAGAGAGATGGTGGCTTTCGGGATGACAGCAATGGATATGGAAGAAAACAATTAATTTAGAATCTATTCTGAAAGTAGAGAACTTGAAGTATTAGATTGTGGATCAATTAAGAGCTGAATCAAGGATGGTTTCTGGTTTGGGGTCTTCACAACTCAATGGATGTGCTGTTTACACATTATCTCCTTTGTTCTTTACAATGATCCTTCAGATAGAGATCCACTTTGCAGATTAAACTGGGGGTAGGAGTAAAAGGAGGAGAAAGAGGAGGAGGGGTGGGGGGGAGAAGAGCCTAAGGTTAACACAGTAGAGGAGGTAAGATTCTAGTCCTAGTCTGTCTGATGCCCAAGTTGAACTATCCACAAAACAAGGAATTTATTCAAGGTTTGAATGAATGAATGAATGAACACATGAGTTCTTGGAACACTTCTTGTATTTCTAGGAGAGTTCAACGCACCTCCAGCCCAGCTCAAATAAATGTCCATGTATTTTATTACCTTGGATTTTGAGAAACTTAGAAAAACAACCTAAGTATTAGAAAAGGGGGGTAACCCCAGGGTTTTTTGAAATTATTATTATTTGTAAATGGACACAATGCCTTTATTTTTATTTTTTAAATTTTTTATGTGGTGCTGAGGTCGAACCCAGTGCCTCACACGTGCTAGGAAAGCGCTCTATCACTAGGCTAAACCCCAGTCCCAAATCACCCCAGTTTTAAGCTTTTCTTGTACAAAAACAAACTCATAGAACTCTCCAAATTCTCTCCCTGTCGTGGGCACCTAGCCAACCACACGACCAGCAGCACCCCGCCCACAGCCCTGTGGCCTCACGATGATGTAGGCATCCAGGATGGAACGGTAGAGTGCCAGGACACGGGTGAGGTTCACGGCTAGCTGCCTCCTCTCCTCCGGAGAGAGGCCCCGGGCGGAGACACCCGGCATCCCGGGATGCAGCCGGTGGCGCAGCGGGCGAGAATGCGCGGGAAAGTGGACCCAGGGTCAGAACCGCGCTGGCCCAGGACCCGGGCCGGGCTCATCCGCAGGCAGAACGGGAAGAGTTTCGAGCCCGGTGTCCGACGCAGCTTCTCCGGGATACCATACTGGAGTTACAAATATGAGGCTCAGCCCCCGACCGCCCGACGTCACAAGTCAAGACGTCCGACTGCGCGGTGTCTGGCTGCGAGGCACTTGGGGCGGGGTGTCGGCGCCGTGACGCCACAGAGCCGCGCAGCCGCCCTACCTTCATCAAGTGGGCGGGCGAAACTTAAGTCCCGCCCTTTCCCGTGCAAGGCCCTCCCCTCCCGGAAGTAGGGCCTGGAGTTCCCGGCGCGCTGCAGTTCGGACTAGTAGCGGCTTCTCCTTACCTTCGAGTTGTACCTCCACGGAGCTAGAGGGGCCGGGGAGCGAATCCCGCCCCCGCCCCCACCCACACCACCGCCCCCGCCGCCGCCGCCGCCGCCGCCGCTGCCGCTCCTCACACACTCGGAATCATTGGCTTCGCTACCGGAAGCGGGGGCGCTGCGGGCGCGCGCGCGCTGGCCCCCGACACGTTCCAACCCGCGCGCCTGCCGTCCCGGGGCTCGTCGGCACGCGCCGACTTCCGCCTCAGGCTCGGGACGCTTCCGTTCCTAGAGGGGCCCATCTTGGAGGTAGGTATATGGGCTTGTGGGGACGGTCCCCACCGGGAGAACCGTCGGAATGTGCTTGCTGAGGTGGGCGACCTCGATTGTTAATTCCCTGCCACTCGGCACCGCTGTTGTGTGGTGTCAAAGGTCTCTGCCTGGGAGGACTTGGGTAAGATGCGCGTGGAGGTTACTTCCTCCCAAGCAGATCCGAGAGAGGGGTGCCTGGATTTGTGTCTCTATTCGTGGGCTCACGACTCAGATGCCACCTGTGCCGTACTCTGGTGTCACACTCCTCACCTGAGCATCTTAGACGTTGTCTTTCTGGTCGGATTACAGCGCTTGCCTGTTCTGGCTTCCCGGACCTCAGGCTTCGAACTCGACGGGCCCTTTGGGTCCTTCTTTTTCTTTGGTGCTGGTGATGGAACCCGGGGCCTCCGTCCTGCTAAGCACTGCACTCCACAGCTGAGCCCAGCCCTTTCATTTTATAATGAGACTGAGACCTTAAAAGGTGAATGACACTCCTAAGACCGCACAGTTGTGAATCGTGGGACTTCCTGGCTCACAGCAGTACTCCTTCCATCATTTCATGATACAGTTTCATTTCCCCTCTGATGAGTTGTTTTGATGCCTTCCCTCTCTTAAATCCCACAGAGATTGGTCTTATCTCATTTCTTCCTCTAGGCCTATGGGTGCAGGTACCAGGATCGCTTTCTTCCCCAGGGTTTTCTGCAGACCTTCTCATGTTGGACAATGTGATTCATTAGAAAAAGAGCCCCTCATCCTCTTCCTATCCATGAGCCACTCTTCCTAACTGCTGTCCCACCATCCACTGCCCTCATGTCTGCTATACTCCTGAATCTGGATTTTGGGAGATCTCCACCCAAAAAGGCATTGGAAGGAAATGCCAAGCATCAAAAGTTTGTTAAGAGGCGGCGGCTCTTGGAACAGAGGGGCATTCTCAATAAAAAGAAGCAGACTACTAGCAGGGTGCCTAAATTACACTCAGAACCTCCAAAGAAAGGGGAAAATGTGAGAGTAGATGGTACTTGCAAGATCCCTCCCCTTTCAAAAAAGAACACAGCTGCATCCAGCAGTGGGTCAGGATTGTCCCTGGACAAGAAAGCTGGAGTGTCTTGGCTGACCCCTGCTCCTTCAAAGAAGGCTAATTCTGTTGCAGCTAAAGTAGATTTGCTGGGGGAATTCCAGAGTGCCCTTCCAAAGATTCAGAGCTACCCAACTTGCTCCCAAAAGAAGACCCCCCAGAAGAAGAACCCTCCTCAGAACAATGCCACACAGAATTCCACCAGAGCTCACTCAGAGAGTAAATGCTCTGGAATATCCCAGAAGTTTCCAGGAAAGATGGTGGCAATTGACTGTGAGATGGTGGGCACAGGACCCAAAGGGCATGTTAGTTCCTTGGCTCGATGTAGCATTGTCAACTATGATGGAGATGTGCTTTATGATGAGTACATCCTTCCACCCTGCCACATTGTGGACTACCGGACCAAATGGAGCGGTATCTGCAAGAAGCACATGGTTAATGCTACACCCTTCAAGACCGCGCGGAGCCAGGTGAGAGGCATGGGTCTTGATGATGACAGTGAGGTGGGTGGGGAGAGTCTGAGACATTTTTTCCCCTGGTACTGGGCTGTGAACCCAGTAGGTACTGTACCACTGAACTATATCCCCACCCCTTTTTGTGTTTTGAGACAAGTCCTCGCTGAATTGCCCAGGCTGGCCTTGAACTTGTGGTCCTCCTGGCTCATTCTCCCCAAGTATCTAGGATTACAGGTGTGTGCCACTGCGCCCAGCTGTCCGAAATCTTCATCAAACACTAAAGGACTGTGGAGGGAGAGAGAAAAGTATCAGATGGTTTAGAAGGCTCATTTTTCCTGGGCACAGTGGTGCACGCCCTAATCCCAGCGACTTGGGAGGCTGAGGCAGGAGGATCTCAAGTTCAAAGCCAGCCTCAGCAGCTTAGCAAAGCGCTAAGCAACTTAGTGAGACCAATAAAATACAAAATAGGACTGGGCATGTGGCTCAGTGGTCAAGTACCCCTGAGTTCAATCTCTAGTACCCACCGCCCCCCCCCTCACAAAAAGTGCTTGTTTGGGGAGTAAGAAGGGTTGAAAGGAATGTACAACGGATTTCACTAACAAAGACCTATTTTAGGTATCAAGTGGGATGGACTGAAGTATGCATAGAGAAGTAACAGCCAGTAATGAAGTGCTTTTTTTTTTTTAATTTTTGGTGACCCAGGTCCTTGTGCTCGAGAGACAGGAACTCTACCAACTGAGCTATGCCCCCATCCTAATAGCTAGTAATGAAACTGAGCAAAGTAGCAGGCATGAGGGTCCAGAGAAGGTGCTATTGGGGAATGCCTTATGGAATTGGAATCTAGGATTGAGAGAAGCTGGGTGGAGAGGGCTTCCCAAGGCAAAAAAGCGGCCTGGGAGCTGGGTGCAGTGCCACATGCCTGTAATTTCAGTTATTCTGGAGGCTGAGGATCCCAAGTTTGAGGCCACCCTGGGCAACAGTGGTAGATTGCTTGTCTAGCATAAGGAAGCCTTGGGTTCCATCCCCAGTAACGCAAAAAGAAAAAAAATAGCCTGTGGGCTGGGGTTGTGGCTCAATGGTAAAGCACTTGCCTTGCATGTGTGAGGCACTGGATTTGATCCTCAGCACCACGTAAAAATAAAGACACTGTATGTTCACCTACAACTAGAAACATTTAAAAAATATAACTTGTGTTCAGCACTTCTCTAATAAAAACGAGTCAAGTTTATTCCTTTAAAAAAAAATATCCTGGGACACTATATAAAGTGCTGGTAGGGGAGAGCAGACAGCTGTTAGAGCTAGGGCATCAGGTGCACAACTGAGGGCAGGCGGCCTGTGGTGAAAGGCATAAGAAACAGGCCCGTGCACAGGAGTTCTCATGCATTCAGCCAACCCACTCATCTGGCTCTGGGGTCAATCTTTTTTTGATGGGCCTATATTTGCGGTGCTGAGAATTGAATCCAGTGCTTTACACATGCCAGACAAGCGCTCTACCACTGAGCCACAACCCCAGCTCCTTGTGGTAAATTTTGAGAGCCAATAGGAAACAAAAAAGGAGATTGAGCTGGGCGGGTGAAGGAAGAGGAGAGTGAAAGCTGAATCTGCTTAGGAGTCCACCAGAGGGCACCCTGAGTCCATTTTGCAGTTTTAGGTTCCTGCTCTGCTACAATAATTCCTTAAATGCCAGAGGAGTCCTTGGAGGAGGTTCATCAGAGGTCAGATGGCTGGTTATTAGACAAGACATGGGAGAAAGAATTAAAGGACATCCTCTTCACAGGGGCACAGTTGAGTAAAGGCTTGGGAGAAACAGAAGGTGGGTCTAAGATTTGTCTCACCTTTAATGAGAGCTTATGTTTATGAAAAAAGGTGGTTGTAGACAGGAAGCTGCCATGAGCAACTAAATGCTCAGTTAATTGGGCTGCCTGTGGTTTTCATCATAAAGCACTATCCCGTGACCAGGCTGGGATTAACTAAGGTATGCTCACTGAGTGTGGCCTTTTTGATTGGGGTCTTTTTAGAAGGCCCTGCAGGACTATTGCTTTTGTTCCCAGTCTGTTTGGAATGCCATTTGGGGAATGGCCTTCAGAGCCCGCAGGCATTCATTGATTGTCCTCCTTGGTAGTATGTCTTCATGCTTTAAGACCATGAAATGGTGAGAAGTTACTTGATTCCAAGACTAGTTTTAGTTTATAGTGGTTTTGTCTGTTTGGGTGTTAGGAATTGAAGCCAGGGATACTTTACCACTTAGATACATCCCCATTCTTTGTTATTTTCTTATATTTTGAGACAGAGTCTTGCCTAGGCTGATCTTGAGTTTGTGATCCTCCTGCTTCAGCTTCCCAAGTTGTTGGGGTTATAGGGGTGCCTCCCTGTGCTCGGCAGTTCTTAAGCCTCGGCAGTTTCATCACTCCTGCTAGAGTGATGAAAACCAGACCCTTCTCCCCAAAGCAACCATACTCACTTATTTGCCTGTAATCTGAGGGCTTCTCTAGTCTCCCTGGAGCCCATCTTTGACTTTGTGGGTCTCATCCATGTGTATTTCAGAAGAAGGAAAATGTGGACAGAGTATTTCAAGGATGGGGAGGTAGGCTGTTGGTGAAAAGAAACCAGAGGGAGCTGGGCACAGTGGCGCATGCCTGTTTTCTTAGCAGTTTGGGAAAGCTGAGGCAGGAGGATCCCAAGTTTGAGCCAACCTGGGCAACTTAGCAAGACCCTATTTCAAAATAAAGAAGAGGGGCTGGGGATGTAACTCAGTGGTAAAATGCCCCTGGTTCAATCCCCAGTGTCACATTGGGGGCGGGGGGACAGGAACTGCTGGGCATGGTGGCACTCTCCTGTAATCCCAGCACCTCCGAGGCTGAGATGGGAGGATCACAAGTTCAAAGCCAGCCTCAGCAGAAGCGAGATGCTAAGCAACTCAGTGAGACCCTGTCTCTGATAAAATACAAAATTGGGCTGGGGTGTGGCTCAGTGGTCGAGTGCCCCTGAATTCAATCACTGGTATCCCCGCCCCCCCCCCCCCCCCCCGCAAAATAAAAAAAGAGGAGCCAGTGGCCATGCTGGACTTGCTGGCTGCAGGATTCCAGCTGTGTCTTGTTTCTTCCCACCCCCTCCTTCATTCCTCTTCCAGATCTTGAAGATACTCTTGGGGAAGATAGTGGTAGGGCATGCCATCCACAATGACTTCAAAGCCCTGCAGTACTTTCACCCCAAGTCCCTCACCCGAGACACCTCCCAAATCCCCCTCCTCAACCGGAAGGCCAACTGCCCGGAGAATGCCACCATGTCTCTGAAGCGCCTCACCAAGCAGCTGTTACACCGGGACATACAGGTAACCTCTCCTTCAGCGCCACCCCTTCACACACACCTTGGGTGCACTGCAGGCACTCATCGCTGCCTCTCTGCAGGCTCTGACACCACAAGTGCTCAGGCTGTAGGGTTCCAAATGGCTTCTCTTGTGGGGAGAGCTTTTTGGGGTCAGGGGCCTAATGGTTTCTCTATCTGTGCATCAGATATAGTAATTCCTGTGGATAATAATTCCTCCTTCACAGAATGTTCCAGGTAGTGCTTTGGAAAAGGAAAAGAAAGTCCAAAGGGGCTACAGAACCCTAAACAGAAGAAGCAGGCTGTGGTCTAAAAGAATAAGGAGCATACGTGTGTGGCCCCATCTGCTTGGGAGGCTAAGGCAGGAGGAAGTTCGAGGCCAGCCTTGGCAGTTTAGTGAGATCCTGTCTCAAAAAAAATAAAAAGTTCTGGAGGTGGGCTGAGTGGTAGCGCACCCCTGGGCTCAGTCCCCAGGACCAAGAAAATCAAAGATAAAGAACATGAAGCCCATGTAAGGACTGTCACATGCTGCATGTGCTTAGCATTTGAGGAGGGGTCTCCCAGGAGGCAGCTGTGGGCGGGTCATACGGAGAGCAGGTGGGGGACTGAGAAGTGGGGGAGTCTCAGAAGGCCCGTCTTTCAGGTGGTCGTGTCCTTCTCTGTAGAACTTAGACTGATACAGGTGCACACGCTGCCATAGAAGTGACTGAGGTGACGGTAGCAAGAACCTGGGAGGACGGGGACATGGCTCAGTTGGTAGAGCGGTTGCCTCGTATGCACAAGGCGCTCGGTTCAATCCCCAGCACCACAAAAGGTGGGGAAAAGAATTTCCTGGGAGTTCAAGCCCTGAGATTATTAGATAAAGAGTAGGGACCCAGAGTTGTGTCTTTGCAGCCAGCCTGCTGGAGGAATAACAGCATGGAGCCACCGCCAGGGGGCAGGATCACCAGGAAGAACAGGGTTTGTGTGGCCTCATGCTCTTCTCTTCCTCCTGTTCAGGTCGGGAAGGGCCATTCCTCTGTGGAAGACGCCCAGGCCACCATGGAGCTGTACAAGCTGGTTGAAGTTGAGTGGGAACAACACCTGGCCCAGGATGTCCCGAAAAACTAGCAGCTGTGGGGAGACAGGCTGCACCCAGGAGAACCAGGGCAGCAGGTCCATGCCTGCCTCCGCTCGCTTCACACCTGTGGAAGCTGGACTTGCTGGGGAGACACTCTCCTCCCCAGACCTAATATCCACTGAAATCTCACCTCAGCTCTGTGTCCTGTATCTGGTTAAGTGTCCCATGGAAGCAGGAGACCTTCACGTCAGATTCCAGCCCTGGATTGCTTATATGGTGCTAACCACGGGTCCCAGGGTGCTTTGTGCCAGTCAGGCTTTTTGGTTTCCAGGGCAGGGCATACTGGGAAATGTAGTTTCCCACATTGCCTTATCACTAGGGTGGCCATAAGTCTCTTGTTTTTTAGAGACAGGTTGGGGTTGGGGGGTCGTCCAGGTTAACCTCAAATTCCTGGGCCCCAGCAATCCTCCTTACCTCAGCTTCCTGAGTCGCTGGGACTGGAGGCCTGTGCTCCCATGCCCAGCATTTTTTATTCTCAAGTAATGAACGGCATCCTTTCACTTTCAAAAGTGTCCTGATTGGATATAGAATGGTTGGTCACATTGTGGATCCCAGACCCTGCTTTTGCTGCAGAGTCTGCGTCCAGCCTGCTAGGGTGCCACCTACCAACTTTGAGAAGAGCCACTATTAGTGAGGTTTTGTTCTTAAGCCTAGAAGACAGTGAGGTAAGAGTGTAGCTTAGAAATCAACTTTCCTGATTTAGAAAAGCAGTTTCTTACCTAGAATAGTAGAGGATTTATTTAATTTAGGTTCTTAGAAGGTTGAAAATGAGTTAACCTGGTTTTAATGTTTTTGTTTTCTGTTTTTAGTCTTTTACCTTTGCTAAACCAAGCGTCTAAAACTCAGATGATCTCTTTGATAAATTTTTATAATGGAAAACAGTTGTGTGGTCATTTCTCCCCCCCCCCCCCGATTCCTTTTGTGGTGCTGGCAATTGACCCAGCCTCATGTGCGCTGGGCAAACACTCTACCACTGGGCTATGTCCCCACCTGGCGGGGTTTTTAGTTTGTTTTTGACTTCACATTAAATAGCATTGTCATAGGGACTGTGGCATTGTATAGTTCTGTGAGGGCCCTGGGGTCCTTGTGGGTGACACTAACTGAGGCTTCTCTCTGCTGGAAGTCATGGAGAAGCATTGACCAAGCCTTGGTATATAACCCAAGTCACACACATGATGCCTTGTCCTGGTCCCAACCACACATCAACCAGCACACCCAAAATGACACCTGAACCATGAAAATATCCTGACATGGACGATGCATGACCAGGACAGGAAGGCAGAGAATGATTCAGTGGGCATGAGGGAGGGACAGAGTGGGGGAGGAAGGATGCTTGGTGACGCCAGCCTGGTCCTGCTGCCAGCTCTTCCTGGTGGTACACACCCTCATCTTGGGAAGGTGAGTCACGGGTCTGACCTTGTGTCCGGGATTACTGTCTGCATTTTGACTTGAGAGAATGCAAGACTCCAAATGGACAACCAGGACTTGTGCTCTCTTGAGAAGCTGGTCTGATGCCAGGGGCCAGAGGCAGCCAGGACTGCCAGCGGAAGGGAAATTGCTGCAGCCAAACCAGCCCCAAGACAGCCTGGTCCTTGTGTGCTGCACTATAGGGTTCACTCGCACAGGAGCAAGGTGGTTCCTGTGAGGCCTGACCTGTAATGTCCTAGCTTCATGGAGAGGTGCCAGCCCCCTGCCCCCTTACACAGCTCTAAGTGGGAATGATCCAGGAAGGTCACAGCAAAACCTAGAAGCGCATGTGATCAGCAAACTGGGAAAGTCTTTAGCATCAGTCTTCAGAATTCTTATCAGCTAAAACAAAACTGGCTTTGTGTCATGGTAAAGTAGTTACTGACTTTTCTGCCCCACCCACCACCCACTCAGTGTGTAGAAAGGCACCTGGTTTCTCTTGAGTACCCTGTTGGAAAGAGTTCAGTCTGCTTGTGCTCACCAAGAACCTGGAAGATGGAGGGCCTCGCAGAATTTAATTGGTCACCCTCAGCAAACTTTATGATCAGAGTCCAGGTTACCTCGAGAGGGTGCCTGGGACCGACTATATTTTAGTTCCTTTCCTTTTCTGTCACTCTGCCCAGGGTCCTGACTTCATCTAAGCCCCATTGTGGATTGCTGTCTGAATCTCAACAAGTCCTGTCTGCCTTATGCTGTCACTTCTGACAGAATATGCAGAACAAATCCAAGCTCTCAGTATGCTTACTTTACATGACATAAGGAGATTTTCTTTTTTCTTTTTGTTTTTTTGCAATACTGGGATTGAACCCAGCAGTGTTTTACCACTGACCTACATCCCCAGCACTTTTTGTTTTTTATTTTGGCACAGGGTCTTGCAAAGTTGCCAAGGCTGCCTTCAACTTGCAAACCTCCAGCCTCAGCTTTCTAAGTAGCTGGGATGACTGGTGTGTGCCACCACTCCTGGCCCATATAAGGTTCAAAGAGCCTTTGTTGCAAATGATGTAGGAAAAGAGAGGGTGAGAGTCACATCCTACCAAACATATTTGCTAAACTCCATTTGGCAAAATGTTTCTTGAAAGGGTAAAGGGGACAAGTATTTTGGGATGGCCCTACTGAATCCTCTACCTGAAGAACCTCTGATCTATCGGCAGAGGCTCCAAGGAGGACTCATTTGATTCCAAGTTTAACAGATGATTAGAGCTGACAATGGGAAAGATCAACAGTACTGTAATTATGATCTTGCCTCAAGGCACATTAGTCTAAGTTCAAATTCAGAGACAATTGTGTGAATGTGATGTGCCAGGTTATATATGAATGCCTCCATCTATAGTGCGTAGTACAATATCCTCTTGTAGTCCACAAAGCATTTTTAATTTACCTTATACTGTAGTTCAAGTCCACCAGCTGGGCCCGGTGGCACACTCCTGTAATCCCAGTGGCTCAGGAGGCTGAGGCAGGAGGATCATGAGTTCATAGCCAGACTTAGCAACTTAGTGAGGCCCTAAGCAACTCAGTGAGACCCTGTCTAAAGGAGAAAAAAGGGCTGAGGATGTGGCTCAGCTTAGTAGTTTGTCCCTGGGTTCAATCCCTTGTACGTGGTACCAAAAAAAAAAAAAGTCCACCACACAGCACACAACTTAACAGCAGAGTGTGTTGCATTGATACTGGGCTCCAAGTGTGATTTTGCAATTTAACAAGTTTGTTTTGGGGAGGGGGGTGTGGTATTGTGGGTTAAACCCAGGGGCACTCTACCATTGAGCTACATCCCCAGACCTTTTTCTTTCTGAGGATTTTTAGAATTTTATTTTATGGACAAAGAGCTAGCATGTTCTCTTTCATTGAGTAGCTATCCTGGTCCTTTCAGAGACAGGGCCTTGCTAAGTTACCTGGGCTGGCCTTGAACTTGTGATCCTCCTGCCTCAGCCTCCCAAGTTGCTGGGATTACAGGCATGTGCCATGTGCCCGTCTTCTTTATTTTTCTTTATGCCTTCCAATCTTATTAGGGTTGCCACCAACTCTATGCTTTCTTTGAAGGGGTGTATATGGGGGCTGAAGCTCAGTGGCTGGGCACTTGCAGAGTATGCAGGAGGCTCTGAGTTCAAGCCCTAGCACCACACACACACAAAAAGATAATGCCCAGGATTTTGAGAGAGGTAGGGGAGCGGGAGAGAAAGAAAGTATTTTTAAGAATCTGGCATAGAAAGACAAGCACACCTTAATCCTCTTTCAGCTCAACCAAATTCCATTCTGAAATGTTTAAGAACAATGTTTTGGAATCCAACAGACCAGGACAGCACATGGAAAGCTTGTGCACAGCGGAGGACACTGAGTAAGTGCCACTCTCCCAGGCCAGTGCCTATGACCAACCTTGCCCTGACCTGTCAGAGCACCTGCAGCTTTAGCAACGTACATCCTCCGGCACCCCAGGCCACAGCAGCTCCTCAAAAGCCAGGCCCTTCACTCCCTTCTACGCTGTGGAATCCTGCTTGGTCGCTTCTTTGGAAAGATTCCATGAGAAGGATCCAAATCATAACCGAAGGAGGAAGGAGGCAATGACTGCCTGTGCCCTGGGAACTGGGAGGGAAGGGAGCCCACACCCAGGACCACAGGAGGCTGAGGCAGACAATCCAGCCTGGCAGCTCGAGGCACAGCCTGGGCTGGCAGAGTGGGTATTTCTTGGGAAAGTTTTCTGAAGTGGGGGAGGGTGGACTGGGGAAAGGGCTTGCTCTTGGACTAGGTGCATGTTCATGTACACACACACACTCTCTCTCTCTCTCTCTCTCTCTCTCTCTCTCTCTCTCTCTCTCTCTCTCTCTCTCTCCAAGGCAGGGGCTTCCTCCACCCAGCTCCCTGGGGCTCCTAGGAACCTAGCACCTGGAGGGTCCAGCAGTATACGAGGAGACTTAACCCACGGGGTCAACAAGTGCCCAAAAGCAACCAGAAAGTTGCTCCCACTGAGTGTCCTGTCCCCAGCATGGCTCTGACCATAGGCCAATTAGTGCTGGCTCTAGGGGAGACTGACTAACAAATATTCTGGATCATCTGGAAACGTGGTGCTAGTCCCTGAGCTCTGGGATTTGGGAGGTGTGAGACCATGGCGGTGAGGCCTATAGCTGTGAAAGGCAGGTATTGCTGGCTTCCTTGATCGCCCAGGAGCAAGTCCCTGCCCATCCCAAGTTCCAAAGCTCAGAATACACTGCTTGCCCCAGGATGGTGGGGAGTCGCAGTGATGGAGGGGGTTTCATCAGGGTGGGCACCTACAGCCTGGCTAACTGAAACCCACAGGCCTCCGCTCGAGTCCTCTGGGAACCTGGGCAGGCGGGGCCCTGGTGGATGGGATGGGGCAGGAGACCTGGGTAGGGGGAGGCAGGGGATTATTCCGTCTTTTCTTTGACAGCTGACATTTTCCAGAGCTGGCGCCCGCAGGGAAAGGAAATCGGAGCTTCCCACCTCACACATCTTTTTTCCCATTTTGTTTGAGCTGCCCAGAGAAAGCCATTAGTTCTAGGTCAGTCTGGGGCCTCCCCTGCCTGCCGTCCATCTCTAGCTCTGCTAGGAGGAGGGGTGGGGTGGGGGTCATGGGAAGGACAAGGGCCCACCCTGGCTGAGGGGCCAGACTCTGAACTCCTGTAGCCCTTCTCATCCCTGCCCGTTGAAGATGGCAGGGTCTGGGCAGGGGATGGGAATCAGGGCCCCTGGGGACCCTCCCTCATCCAAGCTTTTTATACTGCAGACTGCTTCTGGGGAGTCTTGCCCTCTGGCTCTTAGCCTAGGAGCTAAGCCTAGGTCTGCTCTGCAACAGGCAGGGCCTGGGGTTAGGGAAACTGTCCTTATTATCAATCCTGGGAACCCATTCTCCTTCCAGAGCCACCAGCCGGTCTGGTTGGGGAATAAGCTACTGGGTTCCATTGTCCGCAGACAACGGCTGCTTTTGGGGGTTTGAGAGAAACAAGAAATAGGAACCCCAAGGAGCCCTGAAGAAGAGCTCTGCCCAAGCTGGCTGAGCTCCTTCCAGGGGCTGACCTGTCAGCCCTTCTACCCTGTCCCCAGAGACAGTGAGTCCAATGTCCTTTTTCTGTGCCCCGTCCAGAATTTCAAAGCCCAGAGCCTGGCCCCTCTTAGTCCTCCTCCTGGAGGGACTGGCCCTGCTCCCCTCCTGCTTCTCTTTCCTCTTCAATTCCAGGATCTGGATATCTGGCCCTGTGCCCACCAGCCTGCGGCCCCCTCCCCCACCCCTTCTTCCTCCAAAAACTCCAGATCATCTCAGCGCTGCACGGGATGGAGAGTCAGATCCCCAGTCTCCCTCCATTTCCCATCCTCAGGGGATGGCAACGTCTTGGGCAGGGATGGCAGCCGGTTGCAGTCTGCGCATCTTTTCCACGGTGGCCGCTTTCCCAGGTGCCATGCAAACT